AGCTACACTGCTGAATTTGTTGATTAATTCAAAAAGTGTCCTAGTGGAGTTTTTGGGGTCTTCCATGTAAAATATCATATCATCTACAAATAGTGGTAATTTTAATTCTTCCTTTCTTATCCTTATTCTTTTTATTTCTCTCTCTTGTCCAATTGCTCTGGCTAATGCTTCCAGAACTATGACAAATAAAAGTGGTGACCATGGACATCCTTGTCTTGTTCCTGATTTTAAAGTTAAAACTTTTAGTTTTTGTCCATTAAGTATGATGTTGGCTGTTGGTTTGTCATAGATGGCTTTGATCAGGTTGAGGTAAAGATCATCTATTCCTATTTTCTGTAGGGTTTTTATCATGAATGCATGTTGGACTTTGTTGAAAGCTTTTTCTGCATCTATTGAGATGATCCTGTCGTTTTTGTCTTTGGCTCTATTGATATGGTGTAAAACATTAATTGATTTTCAAATATTGAACCATCTCTGCATTCCTGGAATGAATCCAACTTGGTCATTGTGTATTATTTTCTTGATGATTTGCTGCATTCTATTTGATAGTATTTTATTGAGTATCCTTGCATCTATGTTCATAACAGAGATTGATCTGTAGTTCTCTTTCTTGGTTGGGTCTTTCTCTGTTTTTGGTATCAGTATAATACTTGCCTCTAGACATGAGTTAGGGAGAATTGTTTCCTTTTCAATTTCATTGAAGAGTTTGAGGAGCTTTGGAATTAAATCTTCACTGAATGTCTTGTAGAATTCTGCTGTGAATCCATAAGGGCCTGGGCTTTTCTTTGTCGGTAGGTTTTTAATCATGCTTTCAATCTCATTAATCGATATTGAATTGTTCAGAATTTTTATATCTTCTTGATTCAACTTTGGTAATTTGTACATATCTAGGAATATGTCCATTTCTTCTGGGAGTAAAGATTTTCAAAGTAGGTATTAATGATCTTTTGAATTTCTGTAGGATCTGTAGTGATTTCATCCTTTTCATTACTTATTGCATGAATCTGAATTCTTTCCTTTCTTTTTTTGATAAGGTTGGCTAGGGGTTTATCAATTTCATTTATTCTTTCAAAGAACCAACTCCTTGATTCATTTATTTTTTGTAGTGTTTCCTTCATCTCAATTGCACTAATTTCTGCCCTGATCTTTATAACCTACTCCCTTCTTTGGGCTCGCCTTGCTCTTCTTTTCCTAGAGGTTGAGGTGCAGCATTATGCTATTTATTTGTTCTCTTTCTGTTTTCCTTATGTGTGAGTTCACCACTATAAATTTCCCTCTGAGGACTGTTTTCATTGTATCCCACTGATTCTGGTAAGTTGTATTTACATTTTCATTTGTTTGTAGGTATTTTTGAATTTTTCCTTTAATTTCTTCTGTGACCCATTGGTTGTTCAGGAGGTAGTTGTTTAAGTTTCAAGTTTTTATGGAGTTTTTGGAGTTCCTTTTGTCATTAATTTCTCATTTCATTGCACTGTAGTCAGATGACATGCATGGGATAATGTCAGTTCTTTTGCATTTAGTTAGGTATGTTCTATGGACTAGAATTTGGTCTATGTTAGAGAAAGTCCCATTGCAGCTGAGAAAAATGTGTATTCTGATGTTGTGGGGTGAACACTCTGTATACATCTACTAAGTCCATTTGTTTGGAGATTTGGTTCACATCTGTTATTTCTTTGCTGATTTTTTGTCCAGTTGACCTATCTCTTTGTGTCAAAGGGGTGTTTAGGTCCCCTATTACAACAGTGTTATTAATTATTTGGGTTTTCATGTCTGTTAAGATTTGTCTTATATAGTTTGATGCTCCCATATTTGGTGCATACATGTTTATGATTGTTATCTCTTCCTCTTGCAGTTTTCCCCTAACAAGTATGTAGTGACCTTCCTTATCTCTTTTGACTGTTCTCAGTTTGAAGTTTACATTGTCTGCAAACAGAATAGCTACTCCTGCTTTTTTCTAGGTTCCTGTTGCATGGAAGAATGTTTTCCATCCTTTGACTTTCAGTCTATGAATTTCCTTTTGAGTAAAGTGTGTTTCCTATATACAGCATATTGATGGATTTTGTTTCCTAATCTACTCTGCCAGTCTGTTTCTTTTGACTGTTGAATTGAGACAATTTACATAAATGGTTATAACTGATATATGTTGGCTTATCATTCTCATGTTATTTACTTGCTGTTGGTTTCCTACTTTTTCTATCTGTTTCACTGCTTGCTGTGCTTGAGGGTTCCTTTCTATTACTGTTCTGGAAATTGTGGTCTTGTTTTGCTCTGTCTAGAATATCTTTTAGTACTCTCTATAAGGTTGGTTTGGCACTCCTGAAGTTCTTCAGTTGTTCTCTGTCATGGAAATATTTTATTTCTCCACTAAACTTCAAGGGTAGTTTTGCAGAATACATCAGTCTTGGTTGGAAGCTGTTTTGTCTCAGGACCTGTAATACTTCACTCTGAGCTCTTCTCGTTTGGACAGTTTGTGTTGAGAAGTCTGCTGTGATTCTGATGGGCTTTCCTTTATAACTGATCTATTTCTTTTCTCTAGCAGCTTTTAATATTCTGTTCTTTTGCTGGACATCTGGGATCTGTATTATTATATGTCCGGATGTAGTTTTATTTTGGTTATGACTGGCCAGAGTTCTATATGCCTCATTCACCTGTACACTGGATTCTTTTTCCATGCTTGGGAAATTTTCTGCTATTATTTCTGCCAATATTGTTTTTATGTCATTTTTGTTGCCTCCTGTTGTTCATTGCATCTTATTAGTGTTACATTATTTCTCTTTGCCTCGTCTTGCAGCTGTTGCATTGATTTTTCTTCCTTCCTTGTTGATTTTAAGAGATCTTTTCTTTCATGATCTCTAGCTGCCATGCTGTCTTCACGATCTGATATTCTATCTTCAGCTTCATTCAAGCAGTTTTGCCAGCTTTCAATGGAAGTTTTGCTTTCCTGGATATCTCTTTGAATCTGCTTCATGCATTCTAGTTCATTCCTATATTGTTCAATTAATGTTTCCATTAGTTTCCTATGCTCATCTGTTTTTTTTTTATATATGTCTTCTTTAGATATGTCTTCTTAGATATATGTCTTCTTTAGCAAGCAACTCTTTCATTATTGGTGTCATTTCATTTTTGCCTGAGAGATTATTTCTGATCTGATGTCTTGTATGGTCTGATGGAATTGTTTCTTTACTTTCATTACAATCATTTCAGGAATTTCAGGTGTGTGTTTACCAAGTTGTCCTATGAGAGATAGGATCTGAGACTGTGTTTTAGTCTTTTGTCTTGTCATGTTTGATGCCGGAGGCAGAGTGCTAGGTCTCCCTCTTCCCTGGCATCTCAGCAAAGGTCGCTAGCATCCCTAGTTTAGGCTTGCCCCTCAGTGTCCCCTGAGATGCGCTGCTTAGTCTGGGGTCTTCTGGCAGATGGTAAAGTGTACCTAGTTTTCCCAGGTCTCCAAAGCAAACTGCAATGTTGGTCAGTCACAGACTGTATGATCCAGTATCTCCTGGCAGTTCAGGGTATGCATAAGACCCAGAAGCAGGCTGTATTGGTGGTGTGGTCATGGACCACTTGGTCCTGTGTTCCTAGGCAGTTCAGGGCACAGGCAGAGCCTAGACATGAACCACTGAGTCAGCAGTTTGTGGACCACCTGGTTCAGTGTCCCCAGGCAGCTTGGGGCATGCACAATAGCCAGTTGTGGGCTGCACTGGTGGTGATCGCAAACCGCCTGTTTCTGTGACCTCCAGGAGGTTAGGGCCCAGATACGAACCACAGTGTCAGCAGCTTGTGGAATGCCTGCTCTAGTACGTCAGAAGGCACAGGGAACTCCCAGGGAGGGCCCAAATGTGAACCCCATTGTTAGCAGTTTGTGAGCCTTCTGAGTCAGAATCTCCTGTCTGCACTAGGTGCACAGAGGGCGGAGACACAGACTGTAAGGGCAGCAGGATCGTGAGTTGCCTGCTCTGTTCCAGGGAAGTAGATGGGGAATACCTGGTTCTCTTGGTATTCAGTTGCGAAACATGATGTCAGTGGATTACAGACCACCTTATTCTTTGTCTCCAGGCAGCTTGGGGCACGCGCAGGAGCCAGATGTGGGCTGCACTGGCGGTGATCACAGACTGCCTATTTCTGTGACCTGTGGGAGGTCAGGACGAGCACAAAGCGCAGATGCAAACCGTGGTGTCAGCAGTTTGTGGACTGCCCGCTCTAGTACCTCAGGGGGCGCAGTGTATGTCCAGGGAGGGCCTAAACACAAACCCCGGTGTTAGCAGTTAGAGGGCCTTCTCAGTCAGACTTTCCTGTCTACACCAGGTGCACAGAGAGCAGAGACACAGACTGTAATGCGTCAGAGTTGGGGGTTGCCTCTAAAAATTTTAAATTAGCTTTCTATTTTGATCCAATTATCTACTTTCAAACTGTTACTACAATGAAATTTTATTCCACTTTGTGTATGCTTAACAAATGATCTCCACAACAGAGCAAAATGGAGTCATATTATTTTGCCCATCTCTTAAAGTATGATGAAACGATATTTATCTTTTAAAAAAGATAATTGACTGATTCATAAATTATTTTAAGTTACTTTTAATCCTCACACCTTACCTTAAGCTTACTAATAAGTATAACTGCATTCTCAAAAAAAAAAAAAAAGTATAACTACATTCTCCTTTATCAGTTACCTAAGTGGTTGGTCTGTCTGTCTCAACTCTCTCAAAATTCAGTATAGCTCTTAGAGGTATTATAGACACTTTATATTTCCTGCTCAATGTTTCATTTACTCAGATCTTCCCCCAAACAAAATCCTGTGTATCTAGACACATATAAACTTGGAAGCCTGTAATCATTAAACAGTACCCTCTTTGAATTTTATTTGTTAACTCTGCAATAATCCCTTTTAGTATTCACATAAGGATTGGTTGATCTAAAGCTGGTGCACTCATCTATGTTCTGCTCACATTTGGCTTTTCTTATTTATACCTTGGCTGCTGTTCACCAGAATGCTAATGTACACAAATTATAAAACAAACATGGCGGGACAAGAATAGCTAGTGATGCTATTCTTCCTGAGAAAATATTTAATTCTGTTCAAGAAACGGTGCCTGATGCAGATGCAAAAATTATACACTAGGAGCAAGTTTACTTAATGTGAAAAGAAAGCAATTATTGTTAAACCATCACATTATACAACAGCCAAGAAAAAAAGTAAGAAATACCTGGGTTCCATTGCCAGTGTTTCTAAGGTGATTATGAAGCAGTTTGGTAGCACCATCTTGAAAAGTTTTTGGTAAAGCTCCTAATAGCATTGTAAACTCTGGGGTATTGAGTTCAAATAAAGAAATCAGCACTGACTGTGCTGCCTGAAAAATAAAAGCACACAGGAAGTACATAAACGCATTTTGCTTACTCAAGAGTGATCATTTTCTTCTCTCAAATTTTGGTTCAATGGCATTAATAAGAATTGATCACCTTTCTCAGGGAAAGAAAAGGTAAAGTGTTTTGTTTTCATACTTCTTTCCTTTGAAGGACAATTTTTTTTCCCTAGTGCTGGGCATTGAACCCAGGGCCTTGTGTGTAACAGGCAAACAGTTTACCAGTGTTACACACTCAATCCTTGGAAAGATAAAACAACATTTGACTTACCATTTTTTTTTTCAAGTTAAGGGAATATGAAAAAAGTTAACAAGTATAACGATAGCAGAAGTTATCCAGATAGATACTTTCTAGAGTTATTCTGGCTATCTATATACTATTTCAGTTTTCCTAATAAATCATTACAAAGAAAAAGGATGGCTATATAAAACCCATTCAGAGCAAATTAGCACCACAGTATCTACTTCCTCACTATGTGACTCTTAAAATAACTGAAAGTATCTTATCTTTTGTCAAGCAAGTAATCTAACAAGTCTACAATTGAAGCTAAAATAAGCCTACTGTTTAGTGTAAATGGGAACAAACAAAAGCTTACTCAAAGTCAAGAAAATATACACATTTCTTTTCATCTTCTAAAATAATTAAATGAGTTACTAAAAGTCAATCACTGAAGTTCAGGTTATAGAGAAAATTAAGAGAGAAAACTACAAATGATCACACAACTTGTATACAAATGTGCACTTTGTATGGAAGTTTTCTGACCTTACTCTATGAAAACTTAAGTGTGGTATGCTTATAGCATCTAACTATGCAATAATACAGGAATGATTAAATTGTGTTATACTGCAACAATGTAATATTATACAACAGTCTTGGAGTATAACATAGATCTATTTGAGGAGAAATTGTGAGAAGCCTATCATAGATTACTGAAGGAGAAATATATAAAACAACAGCTATAACATGAGCTTGTTTTATTAAAAACAAAGCATATATTGTGTAGATGTAGACTTTAACATGTTAATAGTGCATTCTGAAAAAAATTATAGTCTTGCACTATTTAGATTCACACTGAAGGGAAGTTAATCTGAGTATATAAACCAATGACTGTGAAAACTTAAGTTTCCTGTGTCTAGAGTTTAGTTCAGCGATTAAGCTTTATGGACAGACAGCCCACTTCCTCCCAAACCATTCATCAAGCATACCCTTTCCTCATGAGTTTAAGCTATATCTTTATCGTGAACTAATCTCCTATATAAATCTAAGTATCTCTGGATCCTCCTTTATATTCCACTGTTCAATTCAGCTAGTATGACTTAAATGACTATAGATTTACTTAAATTACTAAATTTTAACCAAGTTCTTTATATATCATGTTTAAAAATTTTTCTGTCACATTTGCCTTACTGGATGTACTTTATATTTAAAATAAATTTTCAGGTCTTTAAATCAAAGTAATACATACATATAAATTTAAAAGACAAAGCTATGGAAAAAATTTTATAGTTCTCAATTCTGTTTAGCTCTCCATAACTCTCTGTAATGCTTGTTTTGTATCAACAAACAGTCATAGATTTACATATTTAGTTTTTGTATTCAGACTTTTTTTTTACTGATTTCCTACTATACAATGTGAGAATTTGGGTTATTTTTAATATCAATTCTTGCCCTTTCACTCTTTCCTCCTCATTATGGAAAACACTAGTAGTCCATTTTTGTCTTATTAGCCAGTGTTTAAAAACATAGGTCATATCATTCTTTACTTTTTTGAGGCAGGGTCTCACTATGTAGTTCAGGCTAGCCGCGAACTCACAGCAATCTTCCTGTCTCAGCTTCCTGAGTGCTAGGATTACAGATGTGCACCATCACACACAGCTTCATATCATTCTTTTACTTAAAAATGTGCCAACAGTTTCTGTAAGTCTTTTTTTTCTTGGTTAATGTACCTCAAGCCTTGTCAGTTTTATTAATTTTTCAAAAGAACCAGCTTTTGGTTTCATTGGTTTTCTCTACTGTTTTCCTATATTCTATTAATTTCCATTTTAATCTTATTTATGAGAGTATAAATTATGACATAATTACAAAATTAGGTCTTTCCTCCTACTGGATTCAGGTTTGCTTTGCTCTTCCCCACTTTCTTAAGGTGGTGGATTAAGCTATTATCTTTCTTCTTTTTCTAAGCATCAACAGCTGTAAAGTTCCCCCTAATCAATGCTTTAGCTGCATCTCATGTTTTTCTTTTTTGTTTTTGTTTTTTTGAGTCAGGGTCTCACTGTAGTTCAACTGGCCTTGAACTCACTATGTAGCCTAAGCAGGCCTTGAACTCATGGCAATCCTCCTACCTCAGCCTCACAAGTGCAGGGATTACAGGTGTGTGTCATCATGCCTCACTGTGCATCTCACCAGTTTTGGCATGGCATGTCTTCATTTTCATTCATTTCAGTGGATTTTCTAGTTTCTCTTTTATTTCTTCTTTGGCTTGCTGGCTATTTAAGGAATGGATTATGTAATCTGATATATTTGTGAGTTTTCCAAATTCCCTTCTGTTCCTAATTTCTAATTTCATTCCACTATGATCAGAGAACTTTTTGTTACTTCTATTGTTTTAAACCACTGAGGACTGTTTCATGACTCAGCAGTATGTTTGATGTATACTAGAGAATGTATACTGTTGTTTATACGTGCAATCTTTATCCCTCTTAGTAATGTTCATAACACTTATAGTCTGAGGTTTCCTTTGCAGCAAACAGTGAAGGAAATGAAGACATACGACTCAAACAACAAATAACTATAGGTGATTGAAAGCCTTAGGAAGATGTTGAGGAGAAGGCCCAGGAACACACCTATGCAGCAAGATTAGGAAAAAAACATGTACAAGCTGGAGACGAGAGTACCTGGGAAGGACATTTCCAAAAAATATATCAATAATATATATTTTGAGTGGATGAATAATAGTAGCTATAGGTATGTGGCAGAGATCTTGAAAATATTAACAGATATTTTAAAATATTTTTAAAAGTTCAAGCAAATGAAACCAGGCAAATTATTAATCCTAAAACAAATTTCTCTAAGAAAGAAGGCAATAGCAAACCACTTACTTGGTATAGGTGCAGGTGCTTGCATAGCCAAATGTCAATCTTTTCTGCTGATGCCCAGTTACTGATTCATAAGTATTTTGAAGATTATGGGGAAGGGTACAGGAGAGAATACAGGAATATGGGACTAGTAAGTCCTCATTTACTAACTGTAGCAGTTAAGCTTAGCTGTGTCAACATGCTTGGCTTGGGAGCTGCCTTGGGGAATGCGTAAAGCACGCTTCTGGGTGTGTCTGGATAGATCATGGAGGTGAGAACTTGGGTGCTATGTATGGTCCCTAGTCCCTTCCTCTTTGGCACTGTTTTGCTCTGCTTCCTGTTCACCATGAATTAAATATCTTTGTTCTGCTATGCCCTTCTGCTATGAAGCTATGCCCTGGAGCCAGCAGATCATCAGCTGAATCTTCTGAGAGTGTGAGCCAACTTAAACCTCCCTCTTTTATGTTTTAGGTGTCAGGTACTGTGTCCCAGCAATGGGACAGCTGATACACTAAGGTAATAAATATAATGCCTACACTATCAGCAAAACAATAAATAATGCCTAAAATTGACAAATCAAGAACAATGTCAGCTTTTATTGGGAATACATAGGTAAATGCAAGAGGACTGACTCAGGATATTTTGAATATTAGAGGTTTGGAGGATTACGGTAAGGGCAGCTATTTTTGACTCTTCTTTTTGATTATTATGCTTATATCAACTGGATAAAATTTAAAAGAATTTTAAGAAGAAGATTAAACAAAGTACTTCATAACTCACTGCTAATTGTGCATCCTAAAAATATTAGTTTCCTTCACTGGCAATACAAAATTACTGGCTTGCTTTTCTAATTTATCTTCTAAGCCTTATAAAAAAAACATACCTTCCGAACATCAGAACTTTTGGGTTCTGTTGTCCAAGTGATGACCCGAGACACTGCCAGGCGAGTTTCACTGGAATTTATAAAATCTCCTGGATCCATCTGTTTGGCCAGAGTTTCTATGTATTTAAGGATAGCAACCTTCACCTGCAGAGAGGTAAGCACAGTGAGAGAGGACAATAGGATGGTCATTGTGAGATAGTGGAAAATGCTTAAGAAATAACCACACAACTATTTTTGGGGGGAAGGTACTGGGAGTTGAACTCAGGACCTTGCACTTGCCAGGCAGGTGCTGTGCTGTTGGGCCACATTCCCAGCCCATATTTTGATAAGTAGAAAATGAACAAAATCAACAAAAAGAAACTATACAACTATTTACCTACCTGAGATACAAGTACATGATAAGGTGATATCTGTTTTTACCAGTTCTAGGTCTCAGGCATTTCATTTCCCAAATATGAAAAAATGCTGAAAACTTTCTCAACACAATTATAAACCTCTTCTTGAAGAATCCTTCAGACTGTACAGCTGATTCTTAACTCACCTTGCAGTGAACCAGTCTTTGTCAACTCAGTGTTTTCATTTTTGCCAAAATAAACCAAAGTATTTGAATATACAGTACTGTTAATCAAATCTTTAATCACAGTGGGCAATATAGGGTTTTTGTTTTGGGGGGATTGTTTGTCACACATAGGGTAAGACTCACAAATGTGATCACGTTTAGGTCCACAAAAAGTTAGAATTGGTTTCCACTAAAAAGTGTCACAAAAATCTTCTATAGACGTACCACTGGAGAAAAGACAACATTTCTTTGTATGAGAAGTTACCGTATATGGGTGTAAAAAGTCTCATTATTTTCCCAGTAATTCTTGATGTATGGGTACATGGAAGGTAGATGTGTTGTTGGCACGGGAGTGTCAAGATCAGCAAGAGATGGAAGTTTTTCCAAAGTACATATGCTTCTGTCTAGACTCAGCCATTTTTAAAAATTTTGATTTTAAAGAGAAAAAAACAATAATTTCAAAACAAGAAAATAGGAGTTATAATCATTAATACATTGTGTATTATCTTTAGTTACTCGAAGTACAAGATATAGACATTTAATGGTCCAAACAATATTAGCATAAACCTTTCTCCTCAATGAACTAAGAGAAATTAGTAGTATAACTATCTCAACTAACTTGTGTGTTGTGTGTTTGTGTATATATGTGTATATATATATATATATATATATATATTTTTTTTTTTTTTTTTTTTTGCTTTTCCCTTCCTTCTTTTCTCCTTTCCCCCATCTCAGTTTCTTCTCAGTTCACAATATCTATTGTACAGTTTGGATCTTATTTACTCTTTCAGTTTCTCACAATAGGGAGACAATATGATGTTTACACATGTGAATCTGACTTACTTCACTTAGGAGTATGATCTTGAGTTGCATCCATTTACCTATAAGCCTCCAGTTTATCCTTTTTTATGGCTGAGTAGTACTCCATTGCATAAAAGTACCACATCTTTTTTATCCATTCCTCAGTTGATGGGCATTTGGATTGTTTCCAACATCTAGCTATTACAAATTGTGCTGCTATCAACATGAGTGCATATATATCACTATGGTACGATTAGACTCAGTCATTTTTAACTTTTCAATAAGCCACTATTAAATTACAGCCCTTCTCTCAGGTATGGTACAGCTGATAAACAGCTGTTTTTTCATATACCCCAACAATTTAGGATTTCTAAATATTGGTTGTCTCAGACTTGACATATATACTTTTCTAAAAATTTGTTCTTTTATTTATCTTATTTTTTTTTGGCATCACTAGGGATCAAATCTAAGCTCTTGTGCATGCTAGGCAAGCATACTACCACTCAGCTACCCCTCTAGCACAAACTAACTGATAAATAACAATTATATGCATTTGTGTGCATATGTATACGTTGTGAGATAGCAAAATTGAAGGAATTAACTTATGCATTACCTCACATACTTATTGTGGAGAGAACACTTAAAATTTACTCTTTCAATGATTTGGGGAGGTGGTGGGAATTGAATCCAGGGCCTTGGCACAAGCTAGGCAAGTTTGCTACCATCTCAAGGATATTAAAACTTTCAAATTTTATATACTGAGGGTATACAATGATACACAGGCACACACACACACACACACACAATTACCTCTATAATCTACGAAAGTGGCAAGAATACCTAAAACTGACTATTTAAGCAAACATCTCAAATGTAACTCAATTTTTACTTTTTGTGGTACTATGGATTAACCTAAGGCCTTCATACTAGCTACATCTCTAAACCTTTTTATTTTGAGATAGGGTCTAACTAGTCGCTCAAGCAGGACTCAAATTTGCAATCCTTCTGCCTCAGCCTCCTGTGTGCTGGGATTATAGGAATGGGCCACCACATCTAACATAATATTAACTATAGTCCTCATATTACACATTAGATTTCTAAGCTTTTCATTTTACATATATCTAACTTTTTGTCCTTTGGCCTGCACCTCCCCACATTCTTTCACTCCATTAACAACCTTCAAGCACTATACAATATATTGTTATATACTACAGTCACTATTTTGTACCTCTATGCTTTACAAATGGCAATGGACAGAGCGCTGGTTTTGGATTCAGCAAATGTTAAACATATATGAAGTGCTGATTTGCTGCATTAGATAAAGGAAGGTTTAAATGTATGATTAAAACTTAAAAAAATGATTGCTAAGATTAATGTGTTTAGTTTTTCTGTGTTCTTTCTTCTCTTATTGATTTTAATGTTACTTTTGTCACTTGGACCAAGTAAGGTCTCTGGCAAGTGACATGCTAAGTTATTTGGTGGGGAGTAATATTAAAAACTAAGCTTCTTACTCTTATACATTTTTCCCTTTCTCCTTCCAGTTACAAGAACAAGTAAGACAGAAGGGATCAAACTACACTCCTCTTTATTAATGAATGAATTTTAAGAAGTATTTATAGTTTCACAAGGCAATCAATACAAAAACAGGCAAAGGGAATTATACCAAACTAAAAGGCACTTGCACATCAAAAGAAATAAACAACCTATGGGATGGAAAAATATATTAAGAAACCATATATATGGTAAGAAATAAACACTGAAAACACTGAAAATATGTAAGAAAACAATCTGATTAAAAAGTGGTCAAAGGATCTAAAGAGACATGAATCAAAAGAATATATACAGATGGCCAATAGATGAAAAAAAGCTCAACATCACTGATCATCTGGGAAATGTGAATGAAAATCACAATGAGGCATTACTTCACATCTGTTAAAACGGGTATTATACAAAAGATGAAAGATAAACATTGGCCTGTGTGGGGGAAAAAAAGGAACACTTGAAGACTATTATAAATGTAAATTAGTATAGTCATGATGGAAAGGAATATGGAGGTTCCTCAAACTACCGTACAATCTGTTAATCCCATTACTGAATATCTACCCAAAAGATATGCAATCAGGCTCGCACAGCTAGAGGTCCAGAACCGCTGCCACCAGACAGAACCCAGGGAGTTGTGTTCACCCCTGGGCAACTCTGTGTCCACGGATTCCTGTTCTGTGTTTTGTTTCTCCTCAGTACAGGGCAGCAGAGGTACCAACTAACCTACCAACTGACCTGATCATGGACAAAGCAAATGACCAGGCAGAGAAGGTAAGCCTGGAAGTCACCAGCTCCAGGGAGAAACAACCAATTAGGCCACCAGTGGTAACGCTAAGAAAAGCCTACAGTCATTGTAAAGTGCAAAATAGCACGAGGTTTTACTAAAAGTGATTCCTCCTACAGAGCAGGCTAGAGTTGGAGAAGAAATCCAGTGCAGTACAGTGCCTGTCATATTTAAGAGGGTTTCATCAGAAGCCATTTTGGGAAGGGCTTAATTGTTTAAGAAGGACTAAGCCACAGAACAACCATAGAACAACTTCCCTCAGGGTCTCTAGTGTTAACCGTACTGCAGTGAATGAGTGAAAGACAGTCATAAGAGACAGTCATGGTGAGGCTGTGGGCTAGATACAGACCTCCTGAGGAGTTTAAACTAGGACCCAGAAGGACACAGGGTCCCGTGTTCTCTGGTGAGGAGAAAGGCCTGGTGAGTGAGGCTTTCAGAGATGGGTGGATCTGAAAGTACTGGCTTGAACTCTAGCAATCTGTGTGAACCCATGAACTACTATCTACATCCAGCACAGAGATCAGCGATCTAATTGCTTTCCCTGCTCAGCAAGGAGAGCAAGGACATGCCTCAGCTTCGACAGTTGTCACAGTATGGGGGTATGGACAGAGGGACCTATGGAGCAGCAGGGCACCTCACAAACCCATAATCCATAAACCCAGTTGGAGAAAACCATAACTTGCTGGATTCTAAGACTACAGATCCTGAAAAGAAACTACCCATTGAAAAATACAGATGAATTATTATTATTGACTCATTTTTTTTCAACTTCATTGGTTTGGGTTTTTACCCCCTTTTTGTTCATTTTTTCCTTTTATTTTATTTTTTTTTCTTTTTCTTGTTTGCTATTTTCTGTTATTTTTATATAATTCTGTTAACTTCTTTTCATTCCTTAAGAGGATCCTTCTTCTCAATATTTCTCCTCTTCTTCTGCCATCGCTTAATTTTAAAAATTTTACTTTTTTTCATTCTCTCATTTGCCATCCACTCTATCTTTACGAGTATAACCATTAAGCTTTACTAATCTTTAGACAGTTAATTTTATGTTATTACTATTGAATACTGTTCTATTGTTAGTGGAGGCAAAGTTGTTACATTACTGGTTTTTCTGGCATGTCAATATCCAGTTTGACCAATATTCAGTGATACACACATACCCATATTTATAATAGTGATGCATACAGCAGTGATATAGTAGTGATACACACATACCCATATTTATAGTAGCACAAATCACAATAGCTAAATCTTGGAAGTGGCCTTTATGTCCATCAACAAATCAAGAAGGATAAAGAAAATGTGGCATCTATACTCAATGGTATTTATACTCTGCCGTAAAGAGAAAGAAATCATTTTAGGAAAACGGATATACCTTGAGACCAAAATGTCAAGTAAAATAAATCAGACACACCAGATTAAATATTGCATGGTTTCTCTTAAATGAGAAATCCAAGGCATAAAGAATTAAAGAGCAAAATGAAAGGCTAATAATAGGAAATAGGGAGACAGATCTTTTGCAAAAGGGAAGGGGACCAAGAGATGAAGAGAGAGGGGAGAGAAGAGAGGAGAAGGGGATAAAAAAAGAATTAAGATGTGTTATGTACATGCACCAATTCCCTGTGAAGAATATAATCACTATGTGCTGCAAACATGTACTAATTAAAAAATAAAAATTAATAAAAGAATGGAGAAACAAAAAAAGATGAAATTATGTTGAAGAGATGAATTCCCATGTTCATGCCAGCATTATTCATAATAATCAAGATGTGGAATTGGCTTAAGTGCCCATCAATGGTTGAATGGATAAAGAAACAATATATATAAATACATAATATCAAATACTATTCAGCCCGAATAAAGGAGATCCTGTCATTTATGAGAAAATGGCTGAATGTGGAGAATGATACATTAAGTGAATGAAGCAAGGTAAAGAAAGACAAATTTGCATATTCTCACATATTTAGACTAGGAAAAAGTCAAACTTATGGGATCAGAATAAAGTAGTGGTCAGCAGAGGTTGGGAGATTGGGGAATTACTGGCTGAAGGCCACAAGAACATAAGTTTGAAAAGTCTACTGGCCACCATATACAGATAATAGCAACATACATACTGCATATTTGAAAATTATTAAGAGTAAATTTTCAGTGTTCTCATCACAAAAATATGTTAGGATTGTAAATATTAAATAGCCTGATGTAAGGATTAGGGATATAGCTCAGTGGCACAAGCACCTGCCTGGCAAGCGCAAGGTCCTAAGTTCGACTTGGACTGTCTCATGAAATACCTCTACATACATGTTCAACACCCTAAGTAGCGATATCGTATCTTTTATCTAACTTATAGTTTATCATGTATTACAACAATGATAAAAACTGTAAGTTTTACATTCACAGGCAATGCCTAGCACAATGACTTGGATATGAGTTCAAAAATATTAATCTGTAGTGTCAAGTAAATTATTCTTTCGCAGATCACTTTTCAGAATAAATATGTTGAAGAACCCCTTTCATAAAGTAGCTCTAAGAAAATAACAATATGTTGAGTGTAAGTCCATGTTGGTAAGAAACAAATCGTGACTCTGAGGTACAATTGCATTCAGAAACTGAAAGGAAAAAAATCAATCTTGAGCAGTTAACACTGTAGAAGTATATTTCGTGCAGAATAGAGCAGAAAATACAAGACTTGTAAAAAGCACATATGCTTGTTATTTCCCTGACTTTAATTTCATTTGAAACATTGGAAAGAATCCAGGGGCTCTTTTTAAATATTAACATTATTTTTCTTTTATACTAAATTTAGTAATTTTAAATAAAAAATTAAAATCCATTTAGTTTTTACATAAGTTAACTGGAAAATGTGTGTAAACAAAAACTGAGAAAGTTAATCCTGATTACAAATTTTATGCACATGTCAGAAATATCACATTGCAAAAAAAGTTACTGTTTCCATTAAGGGGCATGAGAGAATGGCACTGAGATCAAATAAGTGCTAAGGTAAAAATTGCTATTTTGCCCAAAATACCTACAAAACTCCTAAGACTAAGAAAAAAAAAAAGTTTTGGGAAATCACAAACATAAAATTAGCTAAGACTTTATAAAGCAAATTTGCATTGCCGGTGTAGGGTTAGATGGCCATACTTGTGATGCTTTCCAGATTGTATCCCCAGTAAGCTTCACCAAAGGGTAGTCGGGCATTTGAATAACATTTGAAATCAAATATGTGCATGCTTAAAAGGCTTATAAAGGTTAGTAGTTGAATGCAGATGCATACAAACATTATCTGAAACATGGCAGAGAAAGTTAAGAAAAGAAATAATGCAGATTAAAACAAAAAACCTTGGAGCTCCAAAAAGAGTGAAGCTGGTCCCGAAGTGCTGGCTTGACTGTCTGAAAGTTTATAAAAACAAAGCCCACTGATTGAACTGCTTGTCACATGACAAATACAAGTATCAATATAACTTTATTAATAAAATACATCAGTTCCTGTAGTATCTTCAAAAGACCTTAAATTTTTACCTTCAGGCTTGGTGTTTGGGTCTGATCAACTGTAAATCTCATTAGAATATTAAACTGAAGATCATTTGGAAAAGATTCTCTGAAATAAGAACAAAGGAAAACAAAAAATTCAGCCAACAAGTATGCATTTAACAAACTTCATAGCAAAAGATGACACTTTAACACCCAAACATAATGTCATCCAAAACTGTGATGAAGTAGTGTCTCTGTGGTACAGTCTATGTGGTACAGTATACAATACATTCTGAGAAGAATATAAACATCTGCATTTTTCCACAGGACAGAATTATGAATCAACACTATAGTAAATAATAGTCTATCTTGCCCCAAATATTGGTTTAATAGAAAAAAAATATTCAGTTAAAGGTTCGATATGCTCAGACATGTTTCCCTACACCTAAAATCTAAATTGTAGGCTCCAACTTAGTAAATGGATATTTGAAATAAAACACTTCAACAATCTACATGGAAAAGTAGAAATATATCCTTGGTTCAAAACCTTCTGAAATGAGAAAATATTATTTTAAACCTTATAAAATACTCTTATTTTTACATTCAGTCAAGTCAATCTTCAACCCTTCTTCACAGATACATTGTCAGTTGATCTTAACCAAAATGCTAAGACGTAACTGAAGACTTTTTGAGACAGGTCTTGCTACGTTGCTCAGGGTGGTCTCAAGCAACCCTCACAAGCAACTCTCCATCTCAGTTTCTCAATTAGCTGGTCATAAATGTACTATGCCACCATGCATGACTCTAGATATATCTTATTGATGATAAAATACTATATTGAATTACTCAAACCATTAAAATGTCTACAAAAGAAATAGATCTTTATCTAGAAACAATGTATTAAATATATCATATGACTGGGCAAAATGAACAATTTTCAAATATTGCCTATACAATCTAAATTGTTTGAAAGGACCTAGAATTCCGAACTTTTAAATACTGGAACTAAGTATTCTAATTATTTGGTAAACTTGAAATATATGCAGAAAATATTACCTTGTAATATCAAGGGCTTTCTGAACTTTTGCCTGGACAGACCCAAGCAAATCAGCACCCATTTTTTTTAGTAGTTGTGTCAGCAGCACAAACAACCAATCTTGAAGATCATCTTTGTGAACTTGTATGAAATCTACTAGAGTCTCCAAAAACATGCTGAATACCTATAGTTGATAAAGGGGAGAGACAGGAAGAAAAAGGAGGACATATTGACCTCTATGCTCAATTAAAAACTGAAATAGAAGGAAATAGAGGAATCAGAGGCACAGCGATTGGCAGCCAAGCGGAAAAATAATCTCTCTTGCTTTTCATTGGACTCTGTGATACAAGAGTACATTTGAACTGTTATTCAACTTTTGCAGAAGTTCAACAATTAGCTATTCCATGCAGCATCACTTGGTAAAGAAACTTTGGCCATAATGGCTGGCACACCTAATGTTATCACTGACGCCACAGTTTAATTGGTTAAACTGAGATCCATTTCATAAGAAATGTAGGGAAAGGAAGTATCCATAGTCTTACTGACTCTCAGCTTTTTGGAAGAGCGACACTGAGTAAATAGGGGAGGACTACACTAACAGCTACCTTAAAGTGTAAAATTTATTTGCTATAATGGGCTAGAGAATCCTCAGAGTTCTCAAAATGACAATTGTCACAAACTTTTGGGTATAACATATTTTTTTAGTAAAACTGCCCCAAAAGTAACTTATCTGTGATAAAATGGTACCTAAAATAGAATGAAAGTCTGTACCTAACTTTTAGTGATTTAAAAAAAGTTCCTAATTAGTATCCATTTCTATTTATGGGTTTTATACTTAGTTAACATTAGTCTACCAGTTTAGAACATTTTTAAGGTGATGAGAAGCTAAGAGTTATAAGTGATGTATCTCATTAAAATATTTATACAAAGTTTACCTACAACAAGCTTGTATCTCTGCACAAGAAATTCAATACCACACTGGAAAATTTACTTCTATACAAAGAGGAAAAACTCTTTCAAGATTTTCAGCCATGATGTACTGAGGTGAGTCACAATGAGAACAGATTAAATCTATTGATTTAAAAGTGTTTCTTTTCAAAAGTAATTGTTCTAATTTGGGAAGAATTTGCCTTTCAATGTATATCTGATTCCTTTAATTTCTCTTATACAGTTATATACAATTCCCCCTCTATTCTGCTACAACTGAAGGATTTTTCTGTTAGAACTTTTAACTAAGTTAATATGTGAATAAGTTAAAAACTAAAAAACACACTTCGGTTAAGATGCTATGTATTTTTATAAGCACAAGCTGTGATTACTTTAAATTTTCTAGCATTCTCTGGTCCCCAGTTAGCGTCTTAACTTAGTTCTTATCTTACAATGTAGATTCTTTTAACTTTGGTCTTACTCTTCCCCGACTACTCCTTCAAAATGTGGCTTTCCTCAGGTTTCAAATTTCGGTGAGTATGTACTTTGCTTAAATTGTCTCTGGTCTTTTAACTCTGAGCTCAGAATACTGTTGAGACACTTTATAAGAACCTCTTCTATGATGAATGCATGCATCCAATCTGGCATTCACTCTTATTGGTTACCTGTTCAGCAAAGTGCAAGAGTGATTTCAGGAATTATGTGAGGAGTTTGGTAGCTTGAAATCAGCCACAGTAGGAGTATTCACACTTCAGAAACTGGGAAATATTACAAATCAAGACTTTTTCCTCCCCTAAAGCGGGTTTACTAGCGCATAATTTTTTAAAAAATTTTTATTATGTGGTTCACTTTCACTCTTGTTTCAACTCTTATTTTTGTGGTATTAAGAATTGAACCCAGAGGGTGCTGAGCTATAGAATTTTGAGACAGGGTCTTTGGGCTAAGCTGCCCAGGCTGGCTTTGAACTTGTCATCCTCCTGCCTCAGTCTCCTGAATAGATGGGATTATAGGTATCCCACCTGCCTTCAATGCCTTCATATTCTCCTGAGGATTCCAATTTTAAACTTTTATATATGAAAATCCTTCTGAAAAACATACAAACATTAGAAACCTAAGTCAAACCTCCCGTTTTATGGATAAATATGCAGAAAAGTAGGAAATCAAGTGACTCTTCCAATATTTCACAGATGGTCAGTGGCTCAGTCAGCACTTAACTCCTTTGGGTTTTAGTTGTAGCCTACCACTCTTGCTAAATGGCTTACCCCACTGACTCTACAGACTTTCAACATAAAATTCTCCACTGACTTTCCCCTCAATTTGCATTCCACTGTACTTAACTATCTAAAAAATCATTTCTCCAAAGAAGAGTCAATTTCACAGCGCCTGCCTGGCAAGCGCAAGGTCATGAGTTTGATTCCCGGTATCGAAAAAGAAAAAAACCCCCCAAAAAACCCAAAGAGCCAATTTTATTCATTTTAAAGCTAATTTTCCTATTCTGTATTCTTGCTATATAAAGTATGGTCTCCTCTGCTATCTTTTATTCTGTACTTAAATCTTTTGCTTACAGATGCAAAAGACACTAGCCCATGAATTATTTCTTTAGTTTTCATTGTATTATTCCTACTTCTTCTCATCTTCTAATCGTGATGTGTAATACTCTTTTTAAGTTCGAAATGTTTGGTCATTCCTGTAGTTTGATACTGTTTTCCCTTTATTATGTCTCTTCTTTCTTGCCAGGAATTTTTCTTTTACATCCTAAATGTCTTCATCCTGATTTGGTCTTCATCACAAATGTGAACTCCTCAATCTATCCTATAAGGTCCAGAATCTCCAGATTCTGGAGATTCTAGTGCTCTCCTTTGGTCTTAAAATGTGTTTATCATACTACTGTTTTAGGCACCAAACTTCTCTGACTTTAGGTGTGGACTACTGTACTAAACTAACTTTAACCTTTACATTTCCTGTGTAGCAGGGGTCATGAAATCATTCCTATAACAAGCTGATAGTAATTATCCAAGGCTTTACAATCCATATGGACTTGCAACTACTCAACCCTGCTGCTACAGCATGGTCATAGACACTACATAAATAAACCGGCATTAAAAAAAAACAAAAAAACAGGCAGCAGTGCAGATACGGCCTGCAGATTGTATTTAACACATCTTTGTTTCTCACTATCAAATTGTGATATCATTTTTTTGATAGAAACAAAAATCCTTAAATGTCCCCTCATTGTCTATAGGATAATGTCTCAAACCCTTATATAAGGTTCTAACTTTCCAAAATAGGGGATTATTCAGTAATATACATTCTTTATCTCTCCCTCTTCATTCACATTTGTCAAAACTCTCAATTTCCTACTCCTCCTCTCCCAACTGCAGTGCCTACCCATTCATTCACATATAGTATGTGACTCCCTACAAAGTTTACCACTCAAGTTTCTATCAAGAAGCTTCCTGACTACTTTAAATAACAGTCACTGATCTTCTCCACTTAGGATTTTCAGTTGGACTAGTTATTTATGGTGTTATTTAACTTTTTTTCTGTACTACATTTTATCTGAAACATGGAATAGTTGAGAATAAAGTTTATATATTTTTGTACAGTCTTGTATCACCAAGAACTAAACTAAACTCGAAGTTATCTAGAGGCTGAGGGTCCCAATAAAGAGTTGTTCAACAAGTGTAAGGATTTTTTCCCAAGTGAAATTTATCCTATAATTGGTAGCCAACCATTTTTCCTGCTAGCATGAAGACTCCCTTAGTTTTAGAAGATTACCTTCTTTTTCTTTCCTATAATTTTTTTGATATCTCCCACTTCTTTTTCTGGACTCATGCTAGTCTCTCCCTGGGGGTTCTTTATTTTTATGCTTACATTGCTAAGGCCCATATTTCTGTCAAGATTTTAACTGCCATTTCTTTCAAGAAGATTTCTGGTATCTGAAGCAGAATTTCCTTTTGGTTATATAGACATGTTATTTAGACATAGGGACATGTTATTTATACAGAACAGAATCATTACTTTTTAAAAAATTTATATGCTATCAATGTTACTAATTGATTATATATATGTACATACTTATGTGCCTATATCCATATATTTTCAATACATTTTATCCATAATATATTGGAAATTATGCACAATGTTTCTTACTCAGCTGCCCTACCACAAAGAGTTCCTCTCAAATGTTGACATTCTCCCATTTCCTTACCTAGGATTAAAGGGAAAAATAGATATGCTGTAATACTAGGGTAACAATTTTACAAGAGAAAGTTGAGAATCAAGGCCCTATAAACCACTCTACTTGCTTTTCTGGAATGACAAAAATTATAGGAAGTACATGTGGGGTATAGGGGTTAACTTTAAAAAAAGTTGTGAAACTTGGGAATTATTTTTAAACCTTCAGTGAAATTAATTTATAATCCTACGAATCGTAAAACTAATTTGTTGAAAAAGAATTACATACTTTAGCTATTACATTTGAGGCAGCCTTTTCTTAAACTTGCTTATATCTTAGGTGTGCCAGTCATCAAATACAGAACAGAAGAACATAATCAAATTAGATTAATTAGTAGATTAAAAAGCACATCTCCAAACAGAATGACAGTTTGCATAACTGCAAATAGCATTTCGTGGATTGCAAAGGGTCCAACACTGCATGAACTCTTTGGGAGAGAAAACAGAGAAAAAGGGTTAATTTCACAATCATGCAGTAAAGTTAGGTTTCCAACAAATATTGAACCAACTTACTCTCTATTGAGAGTTCCAACACAGGGGACAGCATGCAAAAGGAAAAAAAGAAAAAAAAGAAAAACACACAAATTAGTCGCCATCAATGCAAAGTTCCTGTATGGAAGAACAACACTTAGAAAATAAAAGTGACAAATGTTTTTAAAAGTTGCATGAAAAACTCAAAATAGTTTTTAAAACAAGAATTAAATGAATAGTATGGGAAAAGAACATATGATTGTCCTACATTTCTCTTTCACTTCTTTGTCAAGGAAATTTTAAAAATGGAAACAAAGATCTTCTTCTGTAGATCCTACTAATCATGAGGCTCAATTTCTGGAAAGAACCCAAGGGTAAAAAGAAACTCACTCTCATTTCTGAACAGTGCCAACATTTAGTCCCAAATATCGTAGTATCTAGAACCACCCTCCCCCCAGTAATACTTTCCAAGTTAAAATTATTTCTTATGAAGGTCTGAAACAATTACCATTGCCTGGAGTGTTAACTGTTTATACCACAAACATTTATACTCCCCAGGCAAGATGTGCGTTATGGGCTCCTGCTTCAAAGACTAAGAGCATCTGTGCTACCAGGAACAACTGTCAAAAGAGACATGACCTTCCTAAGCAGGGCACACAACTGTGCTCCACAGTTTAATCCACAGGTTAAACTCCCTAGCAAGCCAAGACTCAAAGCGTGGTTCAAGAGGTAGGATTACAGAAGACTATAAATTGCCAATTCTTAGCATACACCTTCATGAGGGTGACTTTATTCAAAGAGTTCTTCCCCAGAGGCAAATGTCGGAATCATACGGGATAACTTTTGGCCGCTTATCGCACTCACACCAGAGGAGAAAAAGTGGGTCCAGAGAAGTAAAAATGAAAATCTTCCCTGAACTCTTTATTTTTAAAATATTAAATAAGATGTTTTAAAATTTATATGGTGTTTGGTACGTTCTAAGGGTTTTATATATATTAGCTCATTTAATCATCACCCCAATCTTACGAGGTAGATATTACCATAAAATCTGTTTTACATATTAAGAAATCAAGATACACACTGTTAGTAAGAATGTGAGATAGGATTTGAACTAAGCAATCTAGTTCCACTATTCATATTGTATTACTGTGTGGTGCTGCCTTTCTTGTAAAAATATTAAAAGGCTTTGTGCTATACATCTGCGGCTTTCTAGTATAAATTACTGTCATACACACATCCTGGTTAGCTCACCTATTTTCATACTGCACAGGTATCCTTCTGTATTTGCAGTTTCCAAATCTGAAAATTCAACCAACTAGGGACCAAAAATTTTGGAGGGAGAAACTACATCTGTACTGCACATGTACAGATTTTTTTGTCATGACTCCCTAAACAATACACTATAACAACTATTTACACAGCATTTATATTGCATTAGTATTATCAGTTATATTATTATCTGTTAGTAATGATAATATCTAATGATTTTAAGTGGGAGGACATGTATAGGTTAGATGTAAATACTACATTGTTTGATTTTATATGAGATTTGAGATCTGCAGAACAACCTGGAATCAATCCCTCAAGGATCCCAGGGGACAACTATATACATGAAGAGTTCACATCAAAGTACAGACAACAAATAACTTCAACTTTCAGACTGTATTTACTAACCATATTATTCATGTCCCAGGAAAAATCCTGCATCTACTTTTTGCAGCCTTCCTTTCTGGGATATCTGTAATATATACTATGGCATGCCTGATGTTTTAGTTGGACACAGACCCTTTGTTTAAAAAACAAAGAGTAAAAAATTCTAGGGGCTGGAGCAGGTAGTTGTGACTGAAAGGATATGGACTGCTGCTCATAATCATGTTCTCTAAGTGTTCTCTTTCTGCTGGGGACAGGAGATGATCTCAACTATGTTAAGCAAAAAGGAGAACAACTTTCACTAATTATGAAAGCTGCTACCCAGGACCTTTTAACATAGAGACTGAAATACTGACTTAGACCTAAAAGCACATGGGAAAATCCACCTAACCACTGCTTATAGGGTAAGGTGTCTCGCAAACACTAAGGTTCATTTTAGGGGCAAGGCTTTGTACAGTTTCTGCTTTGTAAGATTTTTGCGACAGCTAAGGTTACAGAGAAGAAATTCCAATTCATAGCGGTGATTTAATCCACTACTGAAAAAAATGTACTATCTAAGGATGCTAAACTGAGGAAGAAAGGAAAGTGTCCCTGATGGTATATAGTACTTTAAGCTGTACAGAATAGGACACAGCACATGTGGGAAAATGAACATAGGCTGGGTTGAGAGGTGGGAATAGAAGCAAAACTGATAGGCTTTGTTTGGACATTTTACTAAGGGTTTTAAGACAGTAACAGTAGATTTATCTTTTAGAAAGATTATGAAAGCACCCAGTGTAGAATGTGAAAGGGGTGCAATGACAAAAGATGATTGTGCCCTTGTATAGAAATGTGTAACTTGATTTAGTAAAATCATTCTATGTGTTTTATATGCTTTTTGGTCTGTTAGCCTGGCTGTTAACATGTGTTTATGATAAGTTGGTAAAGCCTTAAAAATAAATAAATAAATCTGATGCAAAAAACAATAAAACACAGGTGGAGGGGACGGGGACATAAAAAGAATTGAACATAGAAAAGAATTGTACAAAAGAATTGTACATAGTGCTATGTACCAATTCCCCAGAATGAATATAATTATTATGTACAGTGAACATGTACTAATAAAAAATTTTTAAAAGATGATCATGCCCTGAATTAGTAGTGAAAACATAGAGATATTTATAGGGTTAATAGGGTGAAATGATATTTCTAGAATAATGCCAAATTCCTCACTTGGGTGTTGGTAGTGTCCTTTAGGAAGATAAAGCAATTGAGAAGGAAGAGTAGTTTTGAGGCTGAACATATTGTCAGTCCTCTGTATCTGTGTATTCTATATCCATGGCTTCAACCAACTATAGATCAAAATGTTTAAAACTAATGCATCTGTATTAAACATGAACAGACATTCTTTATCATTATTCCCTAAATAATAACAACTATTCATGAGGCACTCACATAGTATTAGGTGTTATAAGTAATCTAGAGATGATTTAAAGTATGTGGGAAGATGTGCATAGGTTATATGCAAACATGGTGCTATTTTACATAAAGGACTTGCACAAACAAGAGTACAAAATATAGTTAATATTTAAATTTTAAAAAATTACATGGTAAATGACACATTGCCCTTAATTTCCCACAAAACACTCCCCCTCACTTCACACACACTTATTATCCCGTTGTTTTTGCCCTTTTCTCAAGTAGTTCTGGCAATCTTCTTCTGTTACTGTCTTTATAAGATGTGATTTAAAAAATGCAGCATATATTGCTGTCAATGTGATCTACTGAAAAGGCAGGCTTGTAAAAACATTAAAGTGTGTCTTCATCCACATTCTTCACCAGATCTAGAATCATATGACTTCTGCCTCTTCATCAAAGTCAAAATGACTAAATGTGGGGCTGGGGATTTAGCTCAGCGGCAAAAGCGCCTGCCTGGCAAGCGCAAGGTCGTGAGTTTGGTTCCCGGCACCGGAGAAAAACCAAAACAAACAAACAAACAAACAATGACTAAATGTTTTCAATCAATTCAGGACACTAAGGCAGCCATGACAATGCAATTAAAGACACAAAAGACGACTTCCAGAACCACTTCAAAAGTGGCAAGAACAGTGGGACAAATGTGTTTAAAGTGAGAGGAAGCATTTTTAGGGGGATTAATGGCAATGTGTCTTTTACTGTAATTTTTTTTTGAAACAGGGTTTTGCTATGTAGTCTAGACTGGCCTTGAACTCACTATGTAGCCCAGTTTGGCATTGAACTCAAAGCAATCCTCCTGCCTCAGCCTCCCAAGGATTGGGATTACAGGTGTGAACCTCCTGGCTTTTTTTTTTTTTTTTTTTTTTTTTTGAGATAGGGTCTTGTTATGTAGTTCAGGCTGGCCTCAAACTTGCAACGATCCTCCTGTATCTGCCTCCTAAGTGTTGGTACTACAGGTGTGCCACCATGCCTGGGTATGGTTTCCTGTAATCTTTTAAAATTTTTTTAAACATTCACTGCATGTTTGCTCACACTGTATATATAGACTTTCGCTTTCTTGGGGGTTGAGGGAGGAGTGTTAGTTCTGGAACAAGTATTACACAGATGCTGAGGCATTAATGCAAGCAACAGTGATGCAACTAAGTAAGTACAAGAGAAAAACAGAGGCCATAAATATATATTTGGGAGACATTAGGAAAGCATTTAAGGAAGCTTCAGAAAAGGTATAGTGTAAATAACAGGGCTAAGGGGAACATTCTATGTTAACACCATTAGTAAAACTATCTTGTCAGTGTTTGAAAAGAAGAACAAAAGAAATGGCACGAGGGAGACTGGATTAAGTATAACAGAAAAACCCACCTTTTCTCCTACCCCGCGCCACATTTCTTAAATAATAGAAAAGGTACACCTGAGGCCAGGCATGGTGGCACACTTGGGAGCACTTGGGAGGCTGAAGTGGGAGGATCATCATGAGTTTGAGGCCAGCCTGGGCTAGTGAGTTCAAGGTCCGTCTGAATTACATAATGAGACCTTGTCTCAAAAAAAGAAAAAAGTTGGGCTGGGGATGTAGCTCAGTGGTAGAGTGCTTGCCTAGCATGAGCAAGGCCCCAAGTTCAACCCCCAGTACGACCCAAAAAACAAAAAATAAAAACTACATATGAATAAAGAATAAATTCACAACAAAGTTGCAAAACAAAATGAGGAAATCAATCAGCAAATTGAAGTTTCTGAGAAATTTCTGAGAAATTCCTGGAAACCCAAGCCAGGAGATTATATCAGCAGGAGAAAGGAATTTCATATAGCTAGCAATGCAGTTTCAGGGGGAGACTGTTTTCTGTCTCAAAAGGAGGGAAGATACAAAGTTAGAATGGGCTGATGTGCAGTTAAGCTTGTAGTCAGTGAGAGGAAACAGAGTTTCTGCTTAAGGGCTTCTACTGGTAAACTCAGAGGCTAGGATACATTCTAGGGCGTGAGATGAGTGAGGAAATAAGCAGGGCTGGGCTTTTAGGACAGAGTATTTGACAGTGTTCATGGGGGACAGAAGGAAACACTAGAGAACTGCCCAGTATTACTGAGCACTCAGACAAGAGCCACAGATCAGGTATGGATACAGACATACATTGAACTGCATGACTTCACGTGAAGGGGAGAGCAGAGTTTACCTTTAAGGTTGTAGCCTTCAACAAGTGGCATGAGCTGTAAGAGTATAAGTTCCTAAACATGTTTCTCTATTAGTGTCAGAGGCAAAGAGCCATATAAAAAGGGGTCAGCCAATTATGGACTTCAAACTAAGAATGGTTCTTAAAATTTTAAATATAATTAGAAAACTAGTGACACATGAAAATTATATGAACATTCAAATGTCAATGTTTATGAACACAGTTTTACTACAACCCGGCCACACTGACTTATTACACATTGTGAATGCTTTCATGTTAAAATGGCAGAGTTGAACAGCCAGGACAGAGAACGTTATGGCCTACAAAGCCATAAATTACTGGCTGATCTCTGAGATAGAATAAAATTGCATTTGGGAAGAAAAAAGATATTTAAAGAAGTTACAGGATCCTGAAGATGGAACTGTTGGTACTTTACAGATAGCATTAAAAGGGGAGGGCACATCTGTTACTTAATACTATCATGATATAATGCAAAAATTACAGATCACATCCTTATGTTTTAAACTCAGCATAGCATAGCGATATGTTCAATTTATTATCAATAAATTACATTATTAGTAGTGCCAATCACTGTGATGTTAACCATAATTGTCAACTTTACTGGCATGAGAGTTGCCTAACTTCTGTGTGTATCTGGTGAGTCCTGGGAACTACATCTGATCCCTGGCCCTTTCATCTCTGGCTCCTTCTTGATCTTCGCTTTAAGAAACTTTCCTTTGCCATGACTGTCTCGAATGTTTCTGCCGTATAGCCAGCAGATCCTGGACTGAAACCTCTGAAACTATGAGCGAAAATAAACCCTTTCTCCCTGAAGTTGGGTATGTCTGGTATTTTGTCCCAGCAACAAAAAACTGACTAATGTAATCACCAAATAAAAAAAAAAACACAACGAAAAACTTTCCCATTATGTAAGAACTGACTAAAAAATTCTAAATCCCAAACAAGGAAACAAAACCAGGTGGGTCGGTAATAATTTTATGTTATTTAAAAGCCTAAGAAGAAAAACCAAAAGTCACCTTTGGTGATTACTGGTTCTCCACATCTATGGTGGGAGGCTAACATCTGTCCATTTCAGTTCATTACCAATGTAATGAACATACTAAAACATACCTTCCCATGAGGATCAGCAAACATTCTTGTGAAAATTTCACATAATCTTTTCAGTTCAACTCGACTGTCAAAAATAATAAGGTGGCTAGTTAACTCAGCTTTCCTATTTGATCTTCTAAAATGTGTTTCTCTTTATCACTGCATAGATACAGGCATACAACTAAATTGCATTATTGCCCTAAAAAAAGTAAGAAATTATGACCTCAAGAAATAATTCAGCCTTAGTCTTATACCTTCCAACAGCAATAAATTATATCACTTATTGAAGATATTTAATAACTATATTTTTCAAAGTTGAACATACTGTTAATTAAAATAGGCTCATGTAGATAACTATCTTGTACCTTGGTTTATACGGGCAACTGGAATCGTCAAAGATGATTTATTTAGAATTGATAGACATTTTTATATTAAAGCAAGACCTCCAGCCGCAATCAGTGGTAGTAGCATCAATACAAAATGATAGAGTTATCTACATTATCAGTTTGACCATTATAAACTTAAAAATTTTTTAGTTAATAAACTGCTTACCAAAAGTATTTCTGTTTTGTCTTTTAATGGGCCCTCTTATCTTCAGATAAAATAAATACGATAGAGAATAACCTTTGAAAAATTTAAATAAATATGCACCTCAGTGGATTTAAATCAGTTGGATTTTAATTTATTCTGAGATTTTAAATTGCAGAATTTATTCTGGGATTTCTTTAAATAGTGCCATGAATAATGAAAATAGCAAAAACGTGAGAAAATGATATGTACAAAAGTAAAATGAAGACAAAAACAATAAAATGAAAGTTATTATTTGTTTTTAATAATTTCCTCGCCACAGCTCCCTCTCACTTAGGTTAGAAATTCTCCTGCAGCCACTTGTTTCCTAAAAGAAGATACAATAAAATTTACAGCTTCCAAAAACATTGCTGGAAACAGAATAACTAAACACATTTTTGTCACAGTATTATACACCAAGGTAACTGAATAGTATATATACCAATTACATATAAGTACTTAAATGTATTTGAGCCAACATTAAAAACTAAACTGAACATTATTTTAATGTATGAATGTTTCTTTTTTTATATTATTACCAAGGTATGGCCATAATCACACTTTGTGCTTAAATCTTTTCTACAAAACTGTTTTTTGAAGATAAGAATATATTTACAATAATGCGCTAATTGTCAAAGAAAACTGAATGAAATGTGAGAAACTTTGTTCACCTTGTCTCATTTATGTCCTTTACAAATAATAAAATACTTTTAGCAATACAAAATATACTCACCCTTGACTAAATTATAAAGAACTGTGCTTGTAACTATATCCTTCAGTTTTACTATCAGAAACTCTCACTTTGGAGTGTCAAACAGTGCTTTCTGAATTATATTTGATATCAGCCACTTAAGCTTAATTATGTTTGAAAATATTACTATAAATAATTTTGGATCAATAGTACAATAAAAATGACTTACAGTTTTCTGCTATCATTTTACTTATTTTGGGGGCATGCAGGAGTAAATAATCTTATGTACTAAAACATACCTTCCCATGAGGATCAGCAAACATTCTTGTGAAAATTTCACATAATCTTTTCAGTTCAACTCGACTGTCAAAAATAATAAGG